TTTGGAAATGAGTTATGACAGCCCTAAAACTCACAAAATTGGCCCTGAAATCAGTCAAGGAAGCATACGATGAAAGGCCCCCTCAAAAGGCCTTGAATGGAATTGTTCTACACATGCACTATAGACATAAAATATAATCAAAAGGGCCCTGGACAGACCTAATGCAGACCTTAAAACCCACAAAATTGGGCCCAAAAAGTGACTTCAATGCATGCAAAATAGAGCCCCTTTGGAAAGTCAATGATGCTAGTAAAGAAAATGAGGGGTGAGAGGGTCACCCATCAATGATTTCAAAGCTCAAAACCTCATCAAACCCACTAAAAATCCCCTGGATTTCAGTGGCTATGAGGCCAAAACAAGTCCAATGCAAATGCTCTAATGCATAGCCCTAAATATGAAGGAATGAAGCATGCAAGGAAGGAGATGACTTCAAATAGAAAAGTGACCTCAAGAAAACTTAAAGAGGAGGTCAAAACAAGGATTTTTCCAGTTTATAACAAATCTCGAAAATTTTTACAAGTAAGGCTAAAGTATGATGCAAAAATAGCCCTAAAAGAGAGATAGTGGGTAAGGGGAAGTAGATTACCTCAAACAACAAAGTGCCCTTACACAAAGTTGAAGAGGAGCTCAAAATATGACACTTTATAGTTTATGAAAAAGCCCAAAAATACTTGCAAGTGAAGCAAAGTAATAAAGCAAAAAAATGCAAGTTTAAGGGAAATAGACACTTACCCTTGAAGAGCCGACCTCCAGCAGCTTTTGGACCAAGTTGGTGAGCTTTCAACCTCTGCAAATGACTTCCAAGGTGCTAGAATGGATGATGGAGGTGTGGTGCTAAGGGTTGTAGTGCAAATGGACCAAGAAAATTAGGATTTCGGAGCTTGGAATAGTGACAATGGAGGAGGGAGGTTATAAGCTATAAGCAAAAAAATCAACCCCCTGATATGAAGAGGAGGGCCTCTCTTATAGAGAAGAGAGGCCAAAGCTTCTCTTGGAAGCTTCAAAGATCCTCCATACACGTGTATGGAGGATGCACCAAATGCCCCCCAGCTGGCACAGCTGTAAAGCATTCAGAGAGAGCAAAAAGCAAGAAGCAGTCCGGCCAGTTCAAGTGGCCGGCCGGCCACTCCCCCTAGTCGGCCGACCAGGGGTCAAAAGGTTCAAGCAAAATTTCTGGTCGGCCTACCCAGAAAGGTGGCCTCCTAGATGAGTAGAACACAGCCCTGTAAAGAAAAACCAGAAAATGTGACCCAAGAGAGAGAAAAGCTAGCTTTTAAGCAAGGTTCAAAAGGGTCAAGATGAATTTCTGGCCGGCCTACCCATATTGGTGGCCTCCCAGATGAGCACAACACAATGGTGATATGAAAAGCCAGAAAATGTGGCTCAAAAGTGAGAGAAACTAGCTTTCTGTCCGAAAAATCAGCTTTTGGAGAGAGAAAATGAGAAAACTAGCTTTTCAGGGGAAGAAGTGGCCGGCCACCATCCTACCACCTCCCTAACAGTGAAAATAGGGTCTCTACCAAAAATGGACCAAAACGGATGCAAAACGAAGGTTCAGGTGCCAAAACGCGCGGTTCGTGGCCCCGAAAACAGGCTGTTAGGGCACCGGAAGTGGTGTATGACCACGAAGGTGGTCTCCAGGGCCACAGTGTTCCTCTAAAGGGAGTAAATAAGATGTGTGCCAAAAATCAGAGTAAACGGAGGTAGTTAAGCGGTCCCGAATCGAAGCACACGGCCGACGGCTCCGAAAATCGGAAACCGGGCTCCAAACGGGAAAAATGCCCTACGACCACGAAACGTAGCCTACGGCCACTGAGAGATGGTCTACGAGACCTCTCCCTCCCTTCGGGAAGAGAAAACAGAGAAAACAGGACCCGGTTCGCAAACCGAGGCAAGGCACAAAAAGAGCCCCGAAGTCCGGAGGCAAGGCTCGCAGCCGAGACTTTGAAACCTCAGAACGAGCACAACATGCAACATCACCGAGCGCTCAACTGGTGATGTCTAAGTCTTAAGGTCAGTAAAAAATGGGGTGTCTACACCTGGGGAAGATTCTAGCTATCCTCAGATAGAGTTGTTGAGTCAATTGCATGTCTACCCCTGTTCAAATAAAATTTTACAATTAAATTATTGTAATAAGAAAGGGTCATGCTACTATATACAAAGGTGTGTACTATATGTAACTTAGGGTATTTATAATACTAATATTACAATCACTTTCAAGTGATAACTAAAAAAATTACAATGAGTTATAACTAAACATCTTATAAAGTATAATCAATAACTTTTTTGGTCATAACCAAAATAATAACTGTAATAAAACATAACCAATGCTACAATGATTCACAACTAAGTCATAACTAAAGGTCAGAACCAAATACTACTGTAGGCATAACCAAAAACCTATCCGGTCATAATTAAAATAAAAATCACAATGAGTTAGCACCAAATCATAACCAACACCACAATAAGTCATAGTCAAAAGATCACAAATATCATAACTAGACATATGATACACATTCCAAAAGGGATATATTGTAAAATTATAACTAACACCACAAAATGGTGATACATTTCTTATAATGTGTCTCTTTTTGGAGTTTTCTCCGTGTGACAATGTTTGAATGACAGCAAGTGAAGAGATGGAAATAAGAATGCTATTATTAAAAATAAAATTCATGCATCAATACAAATCAAGTGTTTACTTCAGTCAATAATTCTTTATAGGAAAACATTAAAATTTTAAGCACCATTTACTTATTATACTATTAATATTGTGTTTGGGTATTGAATTTCCTAAAAAATAAAAATAAAAAAAAAAAGGAAAGAGAAAGGTTGCTACTTCATTCAATTGATTTTTTCATTTTCACAAACCATTCAACAAATTCAAAATCTAAACACAACTTAAATGGTTCATAATCTTTCAAAAATGCGAGATTTCCATTAATAAAAGGAAAAAAGAAAAAAAGAGTTTCTAATTCATTCTCTTATTCCTCTCATTTCCCCTTCACAAATCCAAAATCTAAACATTCTAATGTTTGGTTTACTAAAGCCGTGTTTGGATACTTAACCAAATATATATATATATATATATAGTTATGGCAATGCTAGAGACCAACTCCGATTCCAGTTTCGCCTCTCAAGCTTCGACTAGGACAGCTAAGTCCACTGAGGAAGAGGACCAGCTAATTCGTAGTATCAAGAAGATTAAGAGCTCACTAATCCCGGAACCAGTGAAATAGAAAACGAAGTGGTGATGGCTCCTACACCAACAGATGACGAGCTAAACCCTCAAGTATTGTCGTCTCCGAGCAGATTACCTGTGAAATCCTTTAAGGAAGCTCTGACCACGATGAAAATCAGTGCCTATTTGTTTGAAGACCGAATAGAGATTCTCTCTTCAGATGAAGAAGACGATGAACAAGAGGGACAACTTGATACCGAACAACCACTCACGGAATCCATGAATGTACCCACTATCTCCCTCCTCAAAAAGCTCCTGCAGAAAATTCGTAAACCAAGGGAGAGCACTCTAATCATCAGACTACTGGGGAAGAGTATTGGTTACAACATGCTTTGCACTCGAGCAAAACATATATGGGGGCTTCAAGATGAGTTCACTGCCATTGATTTGGGTTACAAATATTTTTTATTTAAGTTTTATAATCAAGAAGACTATACTAAAGTGTACACTGGAGGCCCCTGGGTGATCATGGATCACTACCTGACAGTCAGAAAATGGGAACCAAACTTCAAGCCTTCGAAAGCTTTTGAAACCACAACCGCAATTTGGGTTCGGTTTCCGGAACTTACGATTGAATACTACCAGGATAAAGTCCTTTTCGCGATTGCCAAAAACATTGGGAAACCCCTGAAGATAGACTGGACAACCGCAATGGCAACCAGAGGTAAATTTGCACGAGTATGTGTAGAGATGGACCTAACCAAACCACTAATTCCCAAATTTATTTTGGAGAAGAAATGCTATAATATAAAGTATGAATCCCTCCGCTCTTTCTGCTTCCTTTGCGGACGAATTGATCACCGGAAAGAAGCATGAAGATTTCGATCGCAAACTGCACAGCCGGCAGGGGAAAAGGTAACCGTTACCGATGCAGTCAGTGGAGCTCCTGTCGATGAGACCAACGGTAACCAGCAACATCAGGAAACTTTGGAAGAGGATTTTGGGCCTTGGATGCTGGTTACCAAACGGGGTAGACGACCTGTTCATCACAGGAAAACTCAAGAACCATCTGGCACAGTAACCAAGTCCAATAAGTTTAGATACTTAGAAGGATCTCATGAGGAACAAGGAGAACAATCACGGGGCCGTAAACATACCAGAGTTGGTGCCGATAAGGTCATGAGCAGCCACTCAACCCCTCTAAATCCTAACCAGACCTATGAACCCAATGATAGAGATAGGATGGCCCTGAACTTAACCCCATCCAAAGGGAAAAATAAGCTAACCCAACATCTACCCATGGTTACCCGAACTGGTGCTAGTACATCGATGCACGTGAAGGAGCCTATTGCAGAGGTGTCAGGCCCTGAGCACATTGAAATAGAACACTCTCACAGTGAAAACCACCCACAATCTGGCATGACTGACATGATATGTGTCTTGGATACTAGTACACGGCAAGAGGATTTGACTTCACAAACAGCTATAGCTAGTCTATCTCACACAACCAACTGCACTCCAAATATCACTATCCCTGGTGTTAGTCTTTCTCCAGTACTCACGGACCCATTGTTACAAGAAAAAGAACACCCCGACCCAGGAGAACAACACAATGGAGAAGGAAAAAGTAACGAATTCAGAGGCTCAAAGACTTTATGTAGAGGAGCATCTGAGACAAACTAGCTTGGTGGGGCTGTTATTAGAACTAGAGAACGAAGCTCTTCACCTAGTCACTTTCGACTGGCGGATAGAACAAATTCGGTTAATCATCGAGCCAAGTTGGGGGGACAATCGACCACATCCACTCCACTCAGTGCAGATGGCCTCTCTCAGATCAACGGAGGACAACCGTCGGAGAATACGTAGTATCATAAACCTCGAAGGTACCACCCCCCCATCATTCCCTTTAATGGATTTAATCCGTCTTCTATTCTGGAATTGCCGCGGTGCCGGCAATAACAAATTTAAACGTAATCTTGTGGAAATTGTCAAGACCCATAAACCAGAGATTCTGATCCTCATGGAAACCAAGGTGGCCTTTAGCACCATGAGAGAATTCTTTAATCAACCTGGATTCACTGCCTCATCTACGGTTGATCCCGTAGGCAGAGTGGGGGGTATATGGATTGTTTGGGATACAAGCCAAGTGAATGTTAGAGCCTCTATAGTTAGTCCACAAGTCATTCACACTACTGTACATAAGGAGGATTATGAGGAATGGGTACTGGCTGCTGTCTATGCCAGCCCCAACCCCAGCCTTCGGGAACGGCTTTGGCAGGACCTTGAAGATGTAGCACATTCAATGCAACAACCTTGGTTGGTGGCTGGAGACTTTAATGACTACGCTAATCAAAGTGAAAGAAGGAGTTTCTCAGCTAGCCACAATACCAGTAGAACTCAAAAATTTCTTGATCGGGTGAATAGCTGTAATCTAATTGACTTGGGCTGTTCCGGACCTCGCTTGACATGGACGAACAATAGACAAGGTATAGCTAACACCATGGAAAGACTTGACCGAGCTCTATGTAATGCGGAATGGAGGTCCATGTTTCCCGAAGCCACAGTTAGAGTTCTTCCTAGAACTTATTCTGATCACTCCCTGTAGACGTCCCCAAACGCCCCGGGAGGGTCGAGCTCCCATTCTGTTCATTTGGGCTCACTACAGTTCGGACTCTCAATTTGTCACGGTTCTAAATCTGAACCAAAGAGCCCAAATCCGGCAAATCGTTTTGAGAAAACATATTTTGAAAGAAGTGCCAAACATGGAATGCTTTGCCAGATACAGAGTCGCCACCTAAATATTTTATTTTGGGAAAATTTAGGAAACCCTGACTCGTTTGCCTAAGGCCATGTGTCCGTCATCACCAAAGTTGCCTCGGCTCGGGAACTTGGGTATGATTGGGGAAGGTCACTTCGTGAGCACCGCCGCTCGCCTGATCAAAGATCGGCCTCTACTAACCATGATATCTAGTTTTGAAAACTTTATGCGTTCTTATTCTGGTTATTAGCCTAGATTTACTATGTGATGCGCACAGCATACAAGAATAGACTGGATCGTCTGAATTGGAACAAAACATTTCATGTTTGTTTATTTGAAAGATGGTTTGCTACTCGCAAGTAGGCTTGAAATGCAGATTTTGCCACCCTTAGGTGGGCTTAAGAAAAGATGGTTTTGCCACTATCTAGTGGGCTTAAAACTCACAGTCAATGATTTGTTCCAATTTAAGTAACCCAACCTTCACCCACAGGCATTCAGGCAGTTATATCACATAAGCAAATAGCCTCATGGTAAGCATGCTATTCATGGCAGTCACTCACACGCATGCAAGGATGCTAAAGCATAAAACTTCACCGAGTACTCCAAGCCAAAAAAGAAACTAATTAGAAATCCATGTATGATCCTAATTATGCAGAAATGCCTAATGCAACACATGCAAAAATGCAACTATAGCAGGCTCGGCTATTCTAAA